CATTAATTTCTTCTGATGCGCTCGCCTGACGGAGGAAGCTGAGTGGCTGCCTGACAACCTCCGTGAAGAACCGGAGGCCCGCCTCAGAGTGCTGATCTCATAAAATCTATTTATGGTGCGTACGGTGACACTTTAATTCTGGTATCTCTTACCTTCCTGCTGTCCTTTTCCATCTTTGCCACACACAGCTACACATACTGTCACAATGGAACATATTTATCATCCGCTCCGTGTGGTGACGCCGTTTGCCCTGCTCCTCCGGGCTCGGGTTAATAAGTAGCCGCGCTCTGTTTGCGTAGTCAATGTTCTTCATGTCTGTCTGTCCCCTCAGTCCATCTCCGTCCTCTTTCTCTGTACGTGTGCTTGATCTACCACCTTACCAGTCGTCTTTTCTTATTATTCATCTCTATCTTTCCCTCGGTTCCTTGCTTCGTTTCCCTTAGTCAGCAAAAAGTTACACACTGCATGTTATCATCTCTCTTTCGCTAATCTAAACACATCTCTCTGACCCATTTCTTGTCCTGACAATCTTTTTCCTGCTCTCTTTCCGCCTCCTCACCATCTCAAATTTGCTTCACCTGTTTTTTGGCCTTATTCATCCTTCACACTTTCTTCTTGCCTCATTTTTTTTAAAACTTGTCTGTTTTCCTTTTTTTCTGACTGTTTCCTCTGGTTTTCTTCGAAGCAAAATTAACTTTGTATTAATTTCCGATTGGCATCAGTCGGACATTGGCCTTTTGATTCTACATTTTTGACCAGGTGATTCTAAATTTTAATGGTTTCTCATTAAGGAAGACATAAAAACAGTCTTCAAAATATTTTCTTTTCAGCATCATCAATTATTTTAGACCAGAAGCAGAAGTGCTGCCGCACCATGTGAGAGAGTAACCAAGTCATTTACCACAACAAAGGCAAAGACAATACAGAAATACAACTGTACTCTGAAATATGCAAAAGAGAAACAAATTTTAAATCCATCCTCTTCTATTTGTAGCAGAGGTTTAAAGTAGTAAAAAAAGATTAGTATGAGCAACCTCATTGTCAGTCTTCCTGTTTTGAAATGCAGTGAAAAATATTGTTTCTTTGTAAATATCTTCTTCCATCTCAGTTCATCCTCAGATATCACATTGCTAAGATTGTAGATAAGCAGCTACAGGTCTCTTTTCTTCAGGAACAGCTCGGTGTGTCATGATAACAAATGTTGCTGGATGATAAATTATCCCAGAAATGATTCCAATAAACGATAATATCGTTGTTGTTTCCTAAAAGTAATGTTAGAAGAAAAAGAAAACATTTTTGGAAAAAAATGTCTTAGGCCTTTATTTTAGGAATAAAGTCTTAAGACATTTATATATAATTTAATTATAATACCATCATCAACAATGTTGATGATGGTATTATAATTCAAGCTTGCCCTCTCAAAGACCAACAAACTCTAATTTTTTAAAGAACTGGAAGATGCTTTGAATACACAAAAGACAAAAACATGAAACAAAAACCAAACACTTCATCATAAATTAAATGGATTATGAAGTCTCTGCAAACAAAATGACTCTTCGAGAAATATTAATCTTCAGCGTGGAAATGATGGAGCTCATTTGAATTTATCGTGCGATTAATTGCTTATTGTGACAGGCTCAGCAGCAGTGTCTCTAATAGACCAGGGTTTGTCATTTGAACCTGACTGCATCCGGTACGGCACGAACTAGACACGACTTTTGACATCCCGACCTGCCGCTCAGCAGTCGGGTTTGTTGTCAGCGCATCTCTGATTCATACGCTGGCTCTCTCCTTTCACCCGGTTCCGTGTTTCCACTCTTCTCCTGCCCTCACTTTCTCCTCTGTTATCCTCCACATGGTCTTCTTTTATGACACTGCACAGCATTGACTCCATCGTCTGTTTTTATTTCCCCTTGCCTGTCTTTTTGCCCGTCTTTTCAATTCACTTTCCCCAAGTGCTCCTGACAGATCATTCAATCAGCTGCTGCCGGTATTGGGGCGAATCCTTTTGCTGATCCAGTTTGGGATTTGCTTTATTTCCTCCCGCCGTTACCTATGCCGTTATTATGTGCCAGAGCAGCGGTTCGACAGCTGCTGAGGTCGGACTAGTACACCCAGATCAAATCTGCGCCTGTTTTTTTATGTCTGTGCCTTTCGTACTGAATGCTCATGCCATCAAAAGTCAGGTCGATCAAGCACTTACGATGCTCAAGGACATGAACGTTGATACAGGGTGAAAGTTCAGACTGTCCTGTTGGATCAGGGTCACAGAACTGATACAAGCTTTCTTTTTAAACTGCATGAAATCCTAAGATACCTCTCTGTTATTTCCTAACGCACAAAAAAATCACTGTTTATTATTTCCAAAAGCAAATAATAAGATTGATAAAGGACTTTTTAAGAGAGAATGCATCAAACATGCATCGTGTATTATTTTTGAAATGTCCAAAAGAGAAAAAGAGGCTTTTTTTTTTTTTGCCTCTGCCATCCCATTTCTGCACTTTGACTCTCATTTGAATATTTTTTAGCTCCCCTAAGCTAACAGGCTATTCCAGTAACCATCCAGTTTCTTGCTTATAGGTTGCATCATACATTTGTATCATGTAGATTACACTTCAGTTGCTTAAGGGAAATAGAAAGAATGAAAGAAGCAAGTTGTATGACTGGATTATTTGGTATTTTTAATCTAATTAATAAGGATTGCACCTCAGACAGTTTTACTCTTCATAACAAGTGAATGTGAGCAGTTGAGCAGTAAGCACAAATTACAGGCCATTGGCAACATGGGAAAGTGAATTAGCATAACTAAGGTCGTTCGTGGGAATTAAGAGTACGATTTCTATTTTTTTTTTCCGCCTCCCTATAGCCTGTGCATCACTTTCATTTGCTAAAGCTACCTGGCATTGCTTGATTTATAATTGAATGCAGTTCATTTATTATTAAAGAAGTTCCAAAGTGGTTTCGACAAGTAACTGCAGCCTGACTACTGGATTTGAAATAGCAACGCGTTGGATTACTCGTTACTGAAAGTAGCAGTCCGACGTCAGTAACGCGTTGCTGACATCACTGGGTGTAGTTTACAAGTTGTGTATTTTTACAGAGGAAAGCACTTGTTTAATCTCCCAGCATGATTGTTATGTTCTGCTATTGCATGGGAATGACAGAAGGGGGAGCTCTTAATAAGTATGTGACTAAGATATGCTGTATGAGAAGGGGAAGAAGAAGAGTAAAGAGTGAACTGAAGCTTAACTACGTCTCATGCTGCTTACTTCTACTATTTGAGCATAGCAACACCACAACAATGATACCACACAATGAGCTCGTAGAAAGATTTAACAGCAGCTGGGAGATAATGGACATTTCAGGATTACTCAACGTTTTAAAACATGCTCAGAGTAAAATTACAGCTACACATGTTTTGTCCCCCTGCCACTCATAATTGGTGCTTTCAAATACTTATATATTACACTTCCTTTTTTCCTGTTCTGTTTTTTATTCTGTTTGAGTGCTTCACGGATTAACACAAAAAAAGGCCTCTTTATAACACCCACCCACAGTTCATGTCGGGCTGACCTGCTCCATCTGCCACCGAAGTGTTACCCTCTTACATTCTTATACCTCATAGTCACTGTGAATTGGAAAACTGAGCTTTAATAACAGAACTCGGTACAAAGCAGCTCACTTCTCCTGCCCTCCCCTCTGTTTAGAGCAGCGGTGAACTTAAAAGCACACAACGGAAAAAAAAAAGAGAAAAAGCCGAAAAAAAACAGTCATTTGTCGTGACAGTGCAGCCCATTTGTTGCGAGATGGTCTGTGTGTGTCCCTTATCATGGCTGGTTTGTTTGACCAGGCTCAAAAAGCCACTTCCAGCTCAGATACACGGCGCTGTCAACAAAACACTCCGTCACCTGTCCTCATCCGCCGTTTACACAGGAACCATTTTCTCTATCTGAGGCGCGGCAAATAGATTTCACCTTATGCAACACATACAGACAACATTAACCCTGTGCAATTCCGACTGGGTTTTTGTTGTTGTTGTTGTTTTTTGATATTTATGTTTATATGTGATTAATGCAATAGGGTGTAGAGACGCATCCAGCTCACAAGATTGGATTGACAGACAATATTAGAGTTACGAAAACGGTGATGTGAAGTGTAATATTTTGATGTAATATTTTCTTTTGAAAAAAAGGAATATTTGTCGTTTTTTTCTAATGTATTGAGACTGATCCTGTTTCAGTACTAAACTTCAGCCTCTTCACTTAATGCATTCTTTCTGAAAGAAAGGCAACTAGCCAAACACCGTTTTTTTTTTTTTTTATTAAAATGAAAGCTAAAGAGGCTTGAAACTGAGCCTTGCGGGACTCCTTTTTAAAGTCATTTGGAAATTTGACTTATGACCATTTGCGAAACTATCTTACTTTTTTTTTAAACAAAACAATTATAAATAAGTAAATACATTAGCAACAGTGGTTTATGGCATATGCTCAGATCATAAATGATGAAAAATTATTGTTTGTCATATACTGGGCAGAGGTATGGCCAACTTTATCAGTTTAGTTGAGTTCAAGACATTTACACCAGAATCTGAAAGTCAAACTTCCATGAAAAAGCATCAATTTATCATCTTTTCCTTCAAAATTTCTACTCCAAACTTCAGATGCACAATACACAGTTTGCTTTTTCGCAAGGATCAAAAACCCCCAAAAAGAAAAAGATGTTACCAGACTCTATTTGTTACAACGAGGTGTGACAGAAGTGACAGATACTTTTGAGACTGAGTCTCACAAACAGCATCTGATCTGAAGTTATTATGAAGCGGTAAAGCATATAACACAGCGGGGAGGAACACTTATGTGCCACCTTCATGATCCTAAAATTTGTTTGATTTCCTGCTGTCTCTGATTGGCAGCTGCAGCTGTGAGAAACTTTGTCTTAATGAGCAGCAGGTTTCTAAAACGAGATCCGTCTTCTTGTCTTTGGTTTTCTTCCCCCTCCAGAGGCCCAGTCCAGCGCCATGATGTTCGACAGCGTCTACCTGGAGCTCTCCGCCTCTTTGGAACACGGCACAAATGAGCTGCTGGAGGCGGCGGTGCGGAGCGCGAGAGGGGACTGCGTGGGCCCCGGGTGGACGGACGGCGACCCGGCGGCTGGACGGCGAGAGAGCCTGACGAGCCGCGCCAAGCGCTTCCTGGCCGGGCTGGTGCCTCGCTCGTACGGGCGCGACCGGGAGCGTGGCCGCTACCGGGAAATGAGCCGCCACCGGGGCAGCAAGATCCTCCGGCAGAAGTCCCGGTCCTGTCATGACCTCAGCGCACTGTGACCCCCCACCCCGAACACAGACAGAAACGAAAACACACTCCACATTAACACAAAAATATTAACAAACTGGAAGACTTTTTTCTTAGGAGAGAAATGTTGAGAAATTAAAAAATATTTTAAATGTGCAGAAAAGGGGATAAAAATGTGAAATCAGAGGATATTTAGGTACATTTAACTTGTAAAAGACAAGAGCACACAGGTGAGTAGGAGAAATCGGATGATGTGCAGGAAGTTTGATTACAGGGTGAAACGCGGGATGACGAGGGCGAGAAAGATGAGAGGTGAATGATTACAGCAGACTGCCTCGGATGGCAGTGAACCATCAGCGAAGGCAATTTTGGGACAAACGGATGAGGAGGTGGGCTGCCTTTCAGCTCCAGGTTTGAGTGAATCAGCGAACGCTCATTACCTGAACGGATCGAGCGACAGAAAATCAGCAGCAGAGTCAAGGTGCCGATTTTAAAGCCTAATCAGTGCGACGGACGGATGAACGGCGCCACAAACACACACCTAGGTAGCACGCACCAATGTAGAGACTTATAGAATTTTATTATGTATATCTGTTAAAAACAATGTTTTATAGCATGCGTATTAGCAGAAGCTAACCCTATAGATTTTACAGTGCCCAGTTTCTTGACTTTACAGTACCTCAGTGGCCAATAGCAAATGCACAATCCCGACAGTGTTTGAAACAATGCCGACCCAAAGGCAAGTCTATTATCACATGTCCACACTGCATCCACCATTTTTCTGTCCAGACTGCCGTTGAGGGTTTGTTTGTTTGTTACCAAACCACAGCGGTCACTGCAATCATTGTGTTCATGTCAGACTTTCATGTACCAGGCTAACACATCAGCACTCAAGCCATATTGTTGCTGAATGCACAGTGGGCAGCCAGCACAGCAAACCCTTTACTGCAAGACGCGAGGAAAGAAAAGCGACTAAGGCGAGGCTCTTTGAACGACGCTGAGTCACGGACCACAGGGAGGCTCTTGGAGGATAAACACGGAAAACAAATCCACCTGCGGTTGTTTGACATTCTCTCTATATTTTATTCTTTTTCTTTTTTAAGTTACCTGTTGGAACTTCTAAATGGGATGATTTCTTCAGCGGTTTAGATCCAGAGGACGCTCTGGGAACGCTGTCGAGACATCTCCTCCTCACCGACACACATCCCTGCTCGTTTGTCCACTGAGCACTCTCGCCCCCTCCACTGGGAATAAATACAGTTTGGTTTGACATCTTTATGAGTTTTTCTGTGATATTTTTCAAAGGGTGCATTACGAAGCGACAGCAGCCGTTTAACCCAGGTGAAGGAATTCAACGCCTTTGAGGTCCGGTGAGTCATCAAAGGGCCTCGCCGCTCTTATTTAGGGCAGAGCGGCAAAAAGACACAGCGTCAACACAATGTGCGCTCACTTAAATTCTATACTGGTTCAGGAGGGGCGGAAATGTGAGCGAGTTTATCCCGACTTCAGGATAAGCAGTGAAACAAATTACCTATTTATTTGTGGAAATTCTTTGATCTACTTTGGTGAGATTCTCTACTTTTTCTTTAAGACCCTGACCTTAAGCTTTTCAAATTCAGCTGATTTTTTAAGCTTGATGTTTTTCATAAAGTATTTATTTTAAAGTTCTATGATAAGGAGCAAGTTTGAGTGTCCATAAAAAATTGTTTATCTAAAAAAAGGCGCTTTAACAAATGAATCTGATTGAAGCGTACAAGCATTGCTTTAAACCCCAGTATAGGTACTTAAACCAGTTTAACACTTTGGTATGTTATGAACACAAACTTGAATACATATTGTGGATTTTTTTTTTTTATCATCACAAAATAGTGCATGGTAATGAAGTTGGAAAAAAATGGTTTTAAAATATTTAAATAAAAATCTGAAAAGTGTGGTGTGCATCTGTCGGAGTCGATACTTAGTACTTTTTGCTGCAATTTAGACACGTTTTATTCTGTTTTGCAAAATAACTAATGGGATGGAGAGCATGGGAATAGAAATTTTCAAGTCTTGCCACATTTCTCAATTACATGTTGGTTTGTTGACTGGACTTTTATCTAAACGGTTCTATTGTAGCTCAGCTTTTCTGCCCAGATTTCTTTTTCAACCTCCAACAACTTTTCATTTCAAACGGTACTGAATGTGACACTGTTCACTACTCTATTACCTCTGAGCTTTTATGCTGCTTGCTAAAATAAAAGCTCAGGGCTCATGCCTTTGGCAGAGCATGCTAAGCCGGCGAACCTGTCTTGTTAGCATCTTGCTAGCTTAGCATCAGTTATCTGACTGAGCAGTTCGATTCCCTCCCAGATTTACTGTCTGTTTCTAACAGATTTTTCTATACAACTTTTACCATTGTGAAGATTTTGAAAAAGCAGGGATCTACAGAGATGTTACGGGTATTGGACAGTCGATAACTTGCTAGCAGAATGCCACTGCTACCATCTAGTTTCTTGTGAGCGCAGGACCAACGCAAAATCAGAGTCCTGCCATTTTAAAGCTGCTTTTGGTAATGCAGACCATTTCTACATATTTAAGCTGATCTGAAAAGTTTAAAAGATCCAACTAAAGCTGAGGCAGATGTTTAGTAGAAGAAAGAAAGTTCCTTTGGGACCCCAGGCGGGACCCCAAGTTCACACATCATCCAAATCCCATCATAAAGACAATAAACTACAGATAATTTACCTGCTGGCAACTTGAAATATCTGAGGGAAGAGTCTGGATGAGTATGCTCTTATTTTTTTCTCTCTCTCTCCAAGATCAGCTTTGAGAGAAGATTTGTAGCATTCGCCACAGTTATTACTCACTTCACTGCATACATGTTTTCTTGTAAAATTACTTTTCCTTATTTCGCTGGCTTTTTGTTGATGCACGCTCTCGGCAAGAGTCACAACTGTGATCCATTCATTAATTGCTTTTTTTCCCCTTTCTCTCTCAAATGACCTTTTAATGTCAAAGCATCACACGAGGAGAAAAAGTATGAATGACATGAGTCTTTTTTTTAACTTGACCAACACAATGGCATCAAAATACTTCCGTACACTGCAATAAAGGCTGAGAGTGCGGTAATAATATTGCTTCGCTTGTGTGGCTTTTTTTTAGTACCACAGTCCTCTCAGTTTGTCTAAAGCAGTGGGGTCAAACTAATTTTGATTTTGGGCCAAATCAAAATCATGAATGCTCTTAAAGGGCCGGTTGTGCCAGGATGTATTGATAAAACTTGTTCACAGACTCTTAAAATATCAATTCATTCTTAAAATTAAATAATACTCAACACCTTTTTCTGATTTTTTTGCACGGAAATTGTTTGCAGCACCAATCTGGGTATATACACGGAAAATTTTCTTGAGAAAAATTTGAAACATGAGCTCCCAATTAGTGCAAAAAAGTGCGAGGATTTGTTGATTTTGCGTGAATTTCCGCAATAATTCTCGAGAACGTGGAGGGTCTGGCTCACATAATGTGGCAGGAGACGAATAAAATTTGATTTGACTGATAAAAATAATATTTAAGCACACTTAATGTTTGCTCTAGAATCTGGAGGGCCACGTGAAAAGCTGTGGCGGTCCGGCTTTGGCCCACGAGCCTCGAGTTTGACACTTGTGACTTAAAGGAAAACCTGTAAAGTCAACAGAGAAGTTCAGACTTCCTAGAAGTATCTCTACTGTACAAAAGTGGCAGCGATGTACCCCAAGCTACTCTAAAGCTGTTTTAATCTGTGCTGCACACACACCTCCCCCATTTTTCTTTGTTAAATACCTTGGGAAAAATAATGAGTTTCTTCCATGTAAGAGTTATGCATCACGTCCTCGCCGGGTGTTGTTTACTCAGGAAGAGCTTTAGCTTATGCTCCACAGTCTGGATTTAAAGACAAATCACTCCTGTGATGTTTGGGGTGTTACTTTTCTACCTCTGAGGAAAACGGCTAAAAATAACTTTGCAGCGTTTGTTTACCTGAAATGCCTCCAAAATTAAACTTAAGTCTCATGGATTATTCATGGCTTAAGAGTTGGATTTGCTGAAAGCTTGGAATTTTTATTTAATTAGAATTTATTTTTTGCATAATCATCACTGAGGTTCAGAGCATGAAATGTGAGCCGCTGTTCTCCTCACACTGGGGTTTTTATTTATTCTCCTTCGAACGTAACACAAACACGCCTCATTTAGAGTTACCAAAAGAATTTAAAAAATCATACATATATTATTGCAAAAAAATAAATAAATAAAAATCTGGCTACACATTTACCCCCCTGGGCGTAGCAGCCTGTCAGACGTGAGCAGTCCCTGGGTTCTGGCGCGATCTGGAGTGGACGCGCTGAAGAACTCTTGAGAGGAAGTCAAACTGGCAAAGAAGCAGAGAGGGGAAGAAGGGAGGGAGGGGAAGAAGGGAGGGAGGGAGGGATGGAGGGAGCGAGTCGGACGGAGAGACGAAGGAAGCTTTGAGGAGTAATGGTTGCTTGGAGACTGTTGTCAAGGAGACAGTAAGTCCTTTGGCATCTGAAATGTCCTACATTTATGTTGATATTCAGAACCTATTTTTTTTAGGTGTGATTTCACTTTTTAACCCCTCTCGGCTGTGAGGGGATTGTCGGCGATAAGGTCAAATGGACGATGACCCCCACGTCCTAGAAGACTCTGCTAAAAGGTTGGAATAAAACGAAAGGTTTTCATCACGCTTGAAACAGATCAAAAAGAATGAAAAAAATTAAGAAGAACAAAACCCGTCAGATAACGGCAGCCGTGTGAGACCCGCCGACGCCCACAGGAGGAGGGAAGAGGAGGGAGGGCCGACGATATGACAGAATTTGTTTCCGTGACGCCCCATCGGCGTCTCAGACTGTGACAGATATCCTCCCTCTTTGTGTTTCCCTGGCGCTGACTCATTCAGTGGGCATTTTCTGTGGTTCTTGGGCAAAAAAGAAACACTTCATGCGAGAAGGGGGGGGAGAAAGGAGGCAGAGGGAGAAGCCACCCACTGAGCACCACTAGAAAGCCTGTTGAAGTTCCTCTTCGGCTTCCACCGAATAAAGACTATTTCCAGTGAGCACTGTGCATAGCTAATGAGCTGCAAGTCGCTTTCCTTTGGGGAGGGGGCAGGAGAGCCAGGTGTAACCGATGATGGAGGAGCAGAGTTAGTAAAGAAAGCAGACCTGGCCGACCCTACAGGAGGGGAAGCAACTGAGGGTCTCATGATTCTATTCATTGTGGCCCCAAAGGTCATCACTCCCCGGCTTTGAGTGCACAGTTATGGCAAACAAACGGCAAAGGGAAGCCGGAACCGTCGTCATTGAACTTGGGTGGGTGAAAGCGAGAAAGCAGTGATGGGAGCTGTGAGATGGGATGCAGCCCCGTCAGACGCTGCGATCCTCTTGCCGTTCTCCACTAACCTGGATTTTTCAGCAGATGAAAAGTTGAAGGGACGGCTATGTGCTTTGCCAGATAAACAACAGATAGCCATCAGAGGATCAGTACTCATGTTGTAAAAGACACGTATGAGGAGTAAACAACCCGTCAGTGAAACGGCAAGAAGAAAGCCGTAAGAAACTTCACTTTTGCAGTTTGTGACGAGGCCAGTGAAGAGGGAGCTGGTCAAATAAGATGCAAGACTCACAAAAGGAATCTCTCAAATTATGGGTGGATGGAGCTCAAATTAGTTGACAAAACAAAAAGAATGGGCAACAATGTCCGTCCACAGACGTGCACGTGTGGGGAGATTTACATAACCGCACACAATATTTCAGATTCCCCTTGGTACTGAATTATGTTATATAAAACCAAATGCAACCAAGGACATGTTACATTTTTTTGAAAAGTGCTATAATACACAAAACGGCAATAAAAGCCTCCCACTGGAATCAGACAATAACCAAAGACTGACATATATTCATGACAATGCTTATTTGTATCAAGAATATTTACATTCTTTTAATTTGTCTAAATATTTTCTTACTTTTAGTATTTTTTTGCACCAATGGGAATCAAGCCCCACAGCCATGACCCCAGTGTGACTGACAAAGTCTGAGGTTTTGAAATTCAAAATGTTGTTTGCTACTGTTGAGGTGGACAACCTCACCATCCACACACCTCTAGTGCCACCTACAGGCGACATCTCTTCTAGCATCAAATTGTATATTAATCTCAAATCAGCAAATGAGTGAGAAGTAACATTATATGCATTTATTATCAAGCAAATAAACGCTAAACAATTTGACTAATTTCGACTTTCTATTCCAGAAGGTCACTGAAAAGTTTCCGTTTCTTGGACTCTCCCGTCTGGATTTCCTGCCAGTGGGCTCTCCTGTGGACAAAGTGGGAGAGGCCGAACTTCGCCCAAACGTGACGAGCGAACTGATCGGACCTCAGCTTACTTTCGCTGGGAGCTGGAAGAGAAGGACGGGAAAGAAAGTGAAGGAGTGAGCAAAAAAACTAAATAAATAAAACCGAAAGCGCTAAAACCGTCAGCGTTACCAAGCTCCTGCGCGATGCTTTGCCTCTGGCTGACCGAAGCGCTGTTCCACGCGGCTTCCAGGACTCGGCTTCCGAGCCTGGAGCAGGCCATCTGCACGTACTGGCCCTGAGAGGAGAAACGGAGTTGAGTTTACGTTTCTGAACTCTGCGAACAATCCAACACAAAATCCGGCAAACATTTTGCACCTGCAGTCTCTTGAGGATTTTGCCCCTGCCTTTGTCACTGGATGTGGTGATGAGGGCCTGCAGGACGTGGCTGCCGGAGGGGTCGGAGGCCATCGTGAGGAGGTCGGCGGGGCTCAGGGTGCTCAGGCTGCTGAGGAGGTGAGAGCGCTCCTTAAACTTGGCTAGCGCTTGGACCAGCCGGGAACCGTGGTAGCAGATGGAAGTCAGCGGAACCTGAAAACCACAATTACAAAAATCTGATGCGGCACCGGGGAAAACGCACGAGGTGAAATGTGTCACCTGGACTTCCTCAGAAAGTGGAAACTACTGATTTTAACTGAACTTGTCAACTTCAAGTCAACTTTTAATGAATAGTGCTGAAATGTAAAAATTAAATAGAGATTCTAAGTATCTAAAGACAGAAAACTAACTAACTGACAAAAAAGACCAGTAAAGTAAAGAGTTTGCGGCATACCTCTTTCTGTGTGCTGCCCTCTGTTGCATCGGTCTGGTAATACACCTCATAAGTGAGCAAAGACATAAAGAGCGGCAGGCAGCAGGCGTGTCGAGAGCCGGGCTCGGCGCAGTGGAAAGACTGAAGGGAAACACGGCACAGAGCTGACATGACGGAGGAACTGGTAGCGGGGCGAAACCTTTTGGGAGGCTCACGTTCAGAAGGCACCGCATCATGTCGTCCTGCTTCTCGCCGCTTTCTGCGCAGCTTTCCGCCAGCTGGACGATCACGCCCATGTGACCCGCGGCCAGGACGGCCTCCACGCCCTGGACCAGCTCGTCGAACAGCTTCGGGAACTGGGGACGGGAAAGCCGTCAAGCGGAGAACTCTTCCGGCCCGTAGATCCGCAACAACATCATCAACAACAACAACAACACCGCTTACCAGTTTATGCTTGGCCGAGGCGGCTGTCAGCCTCTGGACGGGGAAGTTGGCGATAGGATGGAGGGCGAGGTCAACCAAACTGCCCTTGAAGTGGCTCTTGTAAAGGTCACGGAGAAGAGATTTGTGGGAGAGCTGGATGATCGTCTCTATGAGGCGACTGGAGGCCTGGTCCTTCAGGAACACCAGCAGCGGACTGCAGCAGACGAGTCAAAATGGCGTCCAATGTTATATCTCTGCTACAAGAACCCCAACAGAGAAAAAAAAAAAAAAAAAACCCCGAAAACACCTCTGACCTGACCCCGGGGGCCGAGCTGCGGCTGGTCAGGTACTCCATGGTGCGCTTCAGGAGCTGCTTGCACAGTTTGGGTCGCTTTCTGTGGCACACGGTCAGCATGGTCTGGAACACGGCGCTGGCTGCTCCGTCTGTAACGCTCACTGAAGAACAAACAAATGGAAAAACAGTTACAATGGAATCCCAACAGAACACGCACCAGCTAGTTTGTGTTTGTAATGTGACAAAAGAGCGGGAACGCTCACCCCA